CCCCCCGCGGAACCGAACCCCCAACCCCCAAAAGGACGGCCCCCGGGGGGGGGCAAGAAGAAGAATGCCCCCCCCCCCCCCCCCGGGCGCATAAAACCCCCAAAAAAAAAAAAAAACAGGGGAAAAAGGCAGGGAAGTAGCCAAGTGCAAAGGAAGGGGAATCAGCAAAAGGGGGGGGGGGCCGAAGAGGGGGGGCTGGGGGGGGGGGAAGGTATATGATGATCAGGAATATGGAAAGGATTCATCAAGGATTTTATACCCAGAGAAAGCAGAGAAGAACACGACGTCTGACGACATTTTCTATTATAAATAAATATATATTACTTCTTGGTTGGTTAGAGGGTTAGGGTGTTCTGTTGCTTTCGTATCGGGCATGGTTAGTTAGCGGTAGTGGTCTGGGAAGGGATGGGTAGGGGAGATTAAATGAATTGAATACAAAGGTTGAGAACAATCTTAACGGGGTGTCTTTGTGTGATGACTGTGGTGACAGATGCGGCTTTGGGGGAGGGATGAGTTGATTTGAAGGGGTTAGGGTTGACGGTTGAGTTACGGTGTAGGGTTGGGCGAGGGCAGATGAAGTCGGTGTGTTGAAGTCGACCTGCCATTAAAAGCCTTTTTTTTATATATATAAAAATGGAGGCATCTAAAACAGGTGACTGCCTATTTTCTCTTCATCTGAAAACTGCACCAAAGCCACAACAACGTTGAGGTCACCGTTGCAAAAACCACAACTCGCTGAAGTGAGGGGCGGCGATTTCCTGTCCAATTTTCAGCCCCACACTTTTGAATATCCCAAAAATTTGGTCAAGCGAACCTTCCTGTCCTTCCACACCCCACCACTTGTCAACCGTCCACCACCACGAAAACAACGCGTGCAACCGGCGAAACCGACCTGGGACGACCGACTTTTTCTCGAATTTATCACACTTCCGATCTCCCTCTTCCAGCAGATCGCAAAATCAGTCAAAATGGCCGCGCAAGCTAAGTGAGTCTTACCACACCCCACAACCACACCCACCACTTGTGTGCCCTTTCCCCTGGGGTCCTCACTAACTCCCACCACCAACCAGGCACGACTGGGCCGACGACGACGACCTCGACGAGCTCACCACCGCCGACCTTCCCCCCCCCCAGAAAATCCAAAACAAGGACGGCTCCACCACCATCATCGAGTACCGCTACAACGACCAGAACCAAAAAGTCAAGACGACCCGCCGCATTCGCTACATCACCCACCGCGAGGTCGTCAACCCGCGCGTTGCCGAGCGCAAGGCCTGGGTCAAGTTTGGGCAGTCGGCCAAGGACGGGGCCGGGCCGGCGCCCGACACGACGAGCGTGGGGGAGAATATCATCTTCCGGCCGAGTATTAATTGGAGGAAGGATGCGAAGGATGAGAGCAAGGATCCGAATGCGCAGGCTATGAAGGATAAGTTGAAGGATAAGAAGGTTAAGGTATGTGAATGGGTGGTGGTGATTTTGTGGTGTTTTTGGGGGGAGAGGAGGGAAGGGGGCGTCAGGGCGAGTGTCCGGCGGTGTGGGAGTGACTCTACTGTTTGCCAGCTGGTTGAGGTGACTGGTTAACTTGGCCATGAGCTCTTATCGATCTTCGCGATGAGTGGCTGTGGTTAAGTCTGTTCAGAGTCGCCTCGCTGGCTGGCGTGACGGAGCTTCTTCCTGTTGGGACTGAACGCAGGAACTGGTGGATGGCGGCGTTTACCCCTTTCTCCCCCCTTTTTCAGGGACTGGTGGAAGCCAGTTACCTCCCGCCCCCCTCCCTTTTCCCCTTTCCCCTTCTCCCCTTTCCCCTTCTCCTCTTTCTTCAGGCACTTGTGGATGCTGCTTTCCTCGTCTCCCTTTTTCTTGGCATCGATGGATAAGTTTGATGATCCTGTCAAGGGGAGAGAGGGGAACATATCGACATCTGCAATGGCGAGCAGGAGACGCCTGGAAGTAGTCTTTCCACTTCAAGAAACGTCAGACGAGCTCATGATTATGGATTTTGCGAGACTAATTTGCTCGGTAGTGTCGTATTTGCAACGGAGAGCATTTCACGGCGAGATGTCCTTACAAGGATACGATGGCCCCTATCGGCGAGGCTGCTGGCGCTGATGTGGCGGCTGGGATGGGAGACGATGCTGGGGCTGGGGGGGCCGGTCCTGGGGGTGCTGGGGCGCCCGGGGCGGGGAAGAAGGGAAGCTATGTACCGCCTGCGTTGCGTGGTGCTGGGGGTGCTGCCGGGGCGGGAGCGGGCGAGAGAATGGGTGGGAAGTATGGCGAGAGGGACGACTTGGCCACGCTCAGAGTCACCAACGTAAGTTTACTGTTAACGTGGGAAACCAGAAGCGGAGTATCTGCTGACACAGGCAATGATAGGTCTCCGAGATGGCGGAAGAGAACGAGCTGCGCGATATGTTCGAGCGCTTCGGTCGGGTTACTCGCGTCTTCTTGGCCAAAGATCGCGACACTGGTCTGGCCAAGGGCTTTGCCTTCATCAGTTTCGCGGACCGTGGTGACGCTGTTAAGGCTTGTGCCAAGATGGACGGTTTCGGTTTCAGGCACTTGATTCTCAGAGTCGAGTTTGCGAAGAAGGCTGCGTAAAGTGGTTAACCAACTGGTATCGACTTTTGGGAGGGTGTAAGAGGGTGTTTACTCTGGGATGGGCTTGGTAGCATGGGGAAAATAGACTGAGGATTTGTCCTATGGGCATAATTTATGTTTTGTTATGCTAAAAGCCTTTTGTGAATTCATCAAGCGTTAGGTATACTTGAAAGCACGGAATGGAAATGCAGTGTGGTGTGTACATCGATCGTGGGTATCAGATGTGTCTTCCATTATGACTATCAGGTCTCCATCTTGAACGGGCAGGCAATTTCATCTTCTGTGCCTTCATTGTCTCAACGGGTGTCTGGCAAAGACACAAAGGGACCAGCTTTTTGAGCGCCAACAAGAAGCACCTTTCATACAGCATTCATAGCCCCCGTTTAGACTCCCATGCAGGTATCCTTCGCTGTTTCCAAACAAACCTAGTAACAGGTCTCCGTCTTACTTTGTTCCTTGCGGTGCCCTCTTTTGCTGGTTCTTGTTCGTGTCTCATCCGTCATTAATTGTGTAATGTTGATAGGGGTGTCAAGGAAATAGCAGTGAATGTCTGCCGCTTCTCTGCGGAGTTGGAAGTGTGGTGTATGTAAGCAAAGGGAAATAAATAGAAGAGAGTGTTGTGCAATGTGTCGCCGGTCCATCTCGAATGATGAATCCTGTTCTGTCCAGGGCTTTACTGCCTCCCCTTCCCCTTTGCCCGTCCCTTCCCCTTCCACCGCTTCGTCTGAACCCTCTCCTCATCAATCGTGTCCTCCTCCTTTGGCGTAGGGAGCTCCTTTTCCACCATCACCTCTGTCTGCTTTTCCCCGTCACCAATCTCGACCTCGTTGTCACTGATGACGTCTTCCTCTTGCCTGTATCCTTGGTCGTCACCCTCTGCTGTGCGCGCCCTTTCCAAGCGGTCGCTGTCGACTGGACTCCTTTCTACCCTCCCCTCTTTTTCTGTTCTCTCTTCCAGCTTCCTCTGTTTTTCTTGCTCCTTTGCAGCTTTTTTCTCCTCTCTGCCAGCCTGCCACTCATATTTCTTTTCTTTGGCCACGTAGGCGGATGACTTTACAACACCTAACATGAGTCGGATCCCAAGACCGAAATGAAGCCAGGCTTGTCTGAGATGGTCTTTCGACTCGGCGTAGTTGGCGCGGGCGGCGGCTGCTCGTTTGCGGGTGCGGTAGGCTTTTTCGGTGCGGGAGGCTTGTCTGAGTTGGGCGGAGATCTGGCGGGTTTGGAGGGCTAGGGCGGCCTCAGTGCCGGAGGTTCCGGCTGTCCCGGGGCGTTGACGGGTTTTGGGGATGTTGAGGGGGGAGATCTGATCGG